GCCAAAACTGCCCAGCCACACTTTTGACTAAAACTGTGTCTAAAGGTTATTGCTAAAATTCTGTCATTGTTGTAGTGACATTTTAAGTTGTATTTCATGACCATTAGTAATATAGTTGAAACATTTAGACACGTTTAAACATAACAAATGTGACAATTATTAGCCACACCGGAAAAAATGAGGCCAAATGTCACCATCCGCCACATGTTTGTCAGATATATGGAAAAACTTTGTGATGGTTTTTTTAAGAGACAATATATTATTATATGGTCACATGAAACAAATGTGTATGTGGCTGTATCATGGAGCAAATTTTGACATTTGAATGCAACATAACTAAAAGGCAATATATGGTCACATTAATTATTTGTGTGTCCCTACTATAACATTTATTACACACTGATTAAGAGCAACCAAACAAGTAACTATAAGTACTTTATGGTCATGTTTAGTGTATTATGTGTGTCTAAAAATAAACATTTGTCATGATAAAAGATAAAAAAATGTATAACTATAAGTATGTTATAGTCACAGTGAAACATGTTATGTGTAGCTAAAAGGTAAATCATGTTCGTGAAAAAAGAAAATACTTGTAACTATAAATAATTTATTGTTACTTTTTACAATTTGGTGTGTGTATAAAAGTAAAATATAGTCATTATTAAAGTAAAAAATTGATTATAAGTATTTAATTGTCACTGATTAAATTATTAGGTGTGTAAAAGCAAAAAAAAATAAAAATAAAAAAAATCTTTTGTTAAATACAAAACATATGACTGTGAGTATTTTATTACCAATTTTTAGAACACATAGTCATGATTTAATATCTTATGCTTGTTTAACAGTTAACAATATCATGATACAAGAAAAAAATATATATGACTGTTAGTACTTTGTGGACATTTATTTATTTCATATATGTGATTACAAGTAAAAAATATTAATAATCTTACAAAAAACATGTGACTTTTAGTATTCTACAACCATGTTTTAAAGGAAAAAAACAAGTACTATAAGTATTATATGGTTACGATTTAATGAAAGAAGAACCTTGAACTAGAAGTGTTGTGTGATTACGGTTTAATTTTTACGTGCGACTAAAAGTAAACAGTTGTCGTGAAAAAAGAACATATCACTATTAGTATTTCATGGTTACCATTTAATTCTAATGTGTGTCGAAAATGAAGAATTTTCATGATAAAAGAAATTAAAACATTTGCGTATAAGTATTATTATACCACCATGTTCTACTATATGGGGTGTCGAAAAGTGAATATTTTGTTATGTAACACAAAAAGAAAACATGTGACCATAATTATTCTTTTGCCAATGTTTAATAGTTGAACTCTAAACATCTTTTGCAAAAATAGTCAAAGTAAATATAATGATGGTTTAATTGATCATTGATGAAATAAAATATTATAAATTCATAGAATTTGAATAGAAACTAAATTATATTAAATTAAATTGCTAACACAGAACTTGGAATAGTATAATTACAACGAGAGAAAAACAAAGTACACTCTTATAATTAGAGTTCTCGATCATTAATCCACAATTTTGTTAAAAACAAATAGTTTAGCAATAAGGGTATTATTGTCAATTTTGGGTTAAAACATAAATGAGACAAAGGAGTTTTAATTCTAATTAATATACATCAAGCAA